CAGTCGCATTCGATCGATCATTAAGAGTCTCCAGCTAGGAGAGGATGGATAGAAGTGAGTTGGCATGATGATGGAGCAAGTTTTCATGGTTAAATAGAGTCTGGAAAACATCGAAGCATTAACATTTATTTAACATGAATCAGCAAAAGAAAAATAAACTACCTTCAAGCATTTATGCATTACCCATCATTACAAGTAAGTAAAAATTAAAGGTCATTAAGTCCATGCGATCTTTACAAAAAACAACAGGAATCTCAGACAAATGATGAATAGGATATATCTATATGGTTTCATAAATTAAATAAGAATTATGTGACTCAGAATGAAAAAAAGAGCTTTTTTCGGGGATGAGCAATATTCCCTTTCTGTATAACAATTTACCATTATTCTGAGGCAGAAAAAAAACCTTAGTTAGCTCTAAAATATTTAAAAAGGAAAGCAGCTTATTTATTAAAAATAATATTACAATTATTATTTAGATTATTTATATAGCTGCCTTTTCAAAATGCCTTGGAGTAATAATTAAAAAATACTCCACCATCCACACAAAGACCCAGTTTGGTCTAATGGTTAAAGCTCCAGGTTAGAAAGAGAGAGGCCATGAGTTCAAGTCCTGCTTTTGCTACGAAAGCCACCTGGTGACTTTGGTCCAGCCACTCTCTCTTTCTCTGCCCAAGACACCTCACAGGAATTTATGAAGAAAATAGGAAGGAATGTTAGATACGTCTGCCACCTTCAGTAATTTGTATAAATAATAAAGGTGGGATAAAAATAAATAAAAAAATCCTCCTCAGGACAAGAAACAAAAGGTAATAGAAAGTACAGAACATACCCCTCTCATTTGAATATAAGATATGATTTGTCTTTTTTCATGTTTTTCATTCCATGTGAACTGCAAAAATATTACCAAGATACCAAACAGCTGTCTATCCCTGGACTAAGTAACACATATCACAACACATATCAGTGACTTCCACATTTTTAAGAAGGCCCTGCTTCTACCTTAAAGCATGAAACTCCTGAAGTCAATTTTGTAAAGATGAAACAACTTCCAGCCATAAGTAAGAGGAGCAAACAGTAAATTCTGTCTGCCAGTAAGTAAAAGGCGTCTCCACCATGATCCATATTAGCTTGATTGTATATATGATCCTGGGCAGTATTAAATATCTTCATATATAGAGAAAAAGATGTGAGGACTAAAGTCCTAATCAACAGTCTGCTGCCATATGAATGTATCCACCAGTTGAGTTTTTCTGAGACTCTGCTTTACAGGTGCGTCCATGAGCTACACAGGACAAGAAATCAGTGCCATCTGATTTCCTCTATACCTTTCCATGTGCACATAAATTGACATTTTGGGAAATTTGATGATGTGGTTTACAGTTCCAAAACAACTCATGAAATGTAGCATTGGTTAAACATATGGCACAAATAATACATTACATAATAAAAATGTTTTTGCAGGTGTACAGGACAGAAAACTGTATGTAAAAATAGGTTTTAGAAGAATACACAAAGTTTCATGTAGCGTTTGCTGAATTTGTAAATCAATGTGGAAACAAAATATCATTATATGGTTAGGAAAATAAAAAAAACTGCACAAAAACAAAACTGAGAGATTTGCCCTAAAATACAATTTTATTTTACTTACTTAAAGGTATTAATGTAGTATTGACTTTTTCCTTCGTTTTGCTTTCAATCAAGAGTATTTTTTTTCAAACCTTTCAGAGATAATAACATTTTGCTGTTGTTTTTTAAAAATATATGGCTTCCTTTAAAACCATATACCCCTTTTAAGACCAACTGGATTTTGATGTTTGAGAGCAACTTTGTCAGGTGGTGAAATGTGGGATGGAAATAATTCAAATAATTAAGATTTGGGGTTATTCAACACATGTTCCTTATTGAATTGAAACTATTAGTATGATGTACAATTTCTCACATTTACTAGACATATCATTTGAGTCTCTCTCTCTCTCTCTCTCTCATCTATCTATCTATCTATCTATCTATCTATCTATCTATCTATCTATCTATCTATCTAT